ATGCCCAGATGGAATACAGTAATTTGGGCAAAGCTGAACTAGTTTCTAGTGGAGCAGGCTGGGAAGGTAGCTTGATGAAGCCACAGGCAGGTCACCTGTACCTCATCAGCATGGATTTCACTTCCTCATGTAGACTGTGCCTCCTTGTTGCTGATTCTTGGAAAATCTTCTTGCTCCATGGATTTCAGTAATTTGCATGAATGAATAGAGATGGATATTCAGCGTCCAGAAACAGGACCTGTAAATAAATTTTCTACTTGAAAGCACTAAGTTTATAGCATGTTTTAAAGTATTACCAGTGTTCAAGGGTACATAAAAGAATACCAAAATTCAAATGAGATGTGACATGAAGCCATTATGAATGCACTGTGCTGTAGGGAGGCTTCCTGCTGCCTTTTTTGTTGTATTTCCCGTTACAGAAACTCTCAAGGTGAACCAATATAAGTGCTGGTGTAACTCCACCATAGTGGCCATGCCTGGACTGAATTTGACCTAAAAATGCTTAAAATTACTGATATCTTCTTGAATAAAGTTCTTAGTACAAATCTCTGTCCATCTTCATTTGACTGCACATGGCTGTGATACATTCATGCAACTTGCTCTGTGAGTTACCCTCCCCAGCAACACACAATTTGGCAATTATTTAGTAGGGCTCCTCTGTGTAATTTCATGCATGACTGACATGCCCTGGAGTCATCCTTATGGTCCTTTGAAGATGGAAGCTGTACAGGGAGCAGCCCCTTGGCAAAGTCCTCGTTTCCTTTGAGTTTCACCATTGGCTTCTATGGGTCCAAAGTTTCACCCTAAGCGTGTTGAATCTATGAACTGCTCCAAGGGACCAAGAACTGAGATAAGTTTAATTGCCTTGGGTGTTAAGCTCAGTTGTGGTTTATTTTAAGCGTGCAGGGGAAGCACTTCTTGAAGAGTGATTTGAAGAGACAGGCTAAAAACGAGCGCACCCTTGGGAATGGCTGGGGATGGCCTCCTTGCAGAGCTCACATCCAGCTCCTCATTTAAAAGGTTGTTGTCTAATGAGCACAAGCAATTACTTAGCTAATGAGCACAACAAAATGAGCACAAGAAATGCGTTTCATCTGCAGTGGCCACTGGAAAGACATGATTTTGAGCTTGAGGCTGCCCTTGCTTTAAGACCCGGGTTACCGCAGGGAGATTAATCCAGGGCACAATTCACAGGGGTTAGATTAGTGTTTGTTTTACTTGAATTCACTTTTCTTTCCCTCTTATCTCATCTAAATTTTGCAACTTCTTATTCATGAACCAGGCAATGGAATGGGTTTAAACAGCTGCAGCTTCCCTCCTGATCACTGGCTGTCAGCCCTCAGGCCTGATTTACCACTGTAACGCAATTATAAAATGGCACAGCGCAATTAATGTGTCTTCCCTCCCCTTTCATGCCAGACAGGAATTCCTGAATTCCTCCTCCACCTTCCTCAGCTGGAGTGATTTTTATAATACAATCTAAACTGAGGTGACTTTATTTGGCTTTAGTCAGGGATCTACCAGACTTGGAGACACAAGGAACTGATTGTACATCGCAGTTAGGGATGTTTCTGTGGGCCTATTGCTATTCCTGTGCAAGTCCAGATTGTTTGTGGGCCTCTTTCTGGTTGGTTTTGTGGTTGTGTTTTCCCACCTTTTCAGCTGACAGTGACAACCAGAACAACAAGGAAAACATAGAATGAACTGCCTACATTTTTCCATCCATTGAACAAAAAACCATGTGAGCTCAAGACATTCCCTCAAGACATACCAAGCTCAAGACATACCAAGTGAACTCCCAGGTTTCCTGGTGTCAGTCTAGCTGATCATCTGCAAATACTTCAGAAAAAACATCTGACATCTACCAGAGCTCTGATACTGCCTAGATGTATGATTTTTGAGAGTAAGGCCAGCAAGCCAAGGTCTTGGCTTCTTTTAAATGCCAGAACCCCCTGGACCTGCAGGGAACTGTACCTTTGGGGGATCATCTGGTCACAAATGTCCTGCACAGTGTTTAAGAAGGTGCTGGTACGTAGCACATACTGATGAAAGCAGTGGGAAAGAAAATTTCTGTGCATGTAAGGATAGGTAAAAATGATATGTGCAGGTTTTTAAGTTAACATTAAAACTGGTGTAACGACATTTTTTTTTTATTTTTAGTCAAGACAATGCACCATCAACTACAGCTAATATTCTTTGCATTTTTTCTTGATGTATTTTACTGAGGATTGAACAGATTTTTTTATTTTACTCTTTATAGATATATTTCATTATGCATAAGACATTACTCAAACATTGTACAGGAAATCAGAAATCTTAATGATTTTTGTTTTAGATTTTCAGGAAAAATGTTGCTCTTTGAGGGAGGTAAAATGGAGTTACATGAATGAAAAGGAAATATTGCTTTCTTTCCCCCCGCCCATGAAACTTCTCAGAGTCATGACTATTGTCAAATTAAATTGGAACTGTAGCTAAACACTATAGCAAATTAGTAAATGGCATATTGAGCCCCAAGAACACTTCATGTTTTCTTCTGTGGTCTCATAATGCAGGGATGACTTTTGCTCCTTAATTTAGTTACAAATTTCTCCCTAAGGCTTTGTATTTCGCTGCCCTGTTCCACCCTTTGCATACCACAGGAAGTAAACTCAGGAGGTTTCACTTATGTGGAATACAAAGAATAAGCAAGGGCTGTCAAAAGTTAGAGCAGAGCCAAGACAAAGTGGCACTACCTGAAGGCTGCCCATGTCCATGGCTCTCTGAGGTCTGTGAATTGTTGTCTTCACTCCTGATGCTGAGCCTAAGGACAGATGAGCGAGTGCTGCTGAGGTATCTCAGCTGAGGTTTACAAAGTTGTTTTCTTGTTGGCCTAACTCAATCTCTGCTGAAACCCAGGGAGGTTTCCCAGCTGGTTTTAATAGCACCCATGACACAACACTGAAGGCTCTTGAAATGCCCACCTGTCTGCTCTGAACAGGTTTGTAGATCAAAAACCCAAGTCTACTGCCTTTGAGGGGAGAAAGATTCCCTAGAGGAGAAGGAAACATTTGGAGTCCTGCTTCTCTTCCTTTGCTCAATATTTTTAGTTCTAGTTGTGTGTAAGCATGGCTGTCCAGTACCAGAAAATCTTTTCAGGTGCACAATGATTTGGAGAGAATTTCTCCCCATATGTGTAGCCCTGCAGAGTTGTTTCAGTTGTTCTTTGCTTTTTTGAGATGAAAAGAGATATCTGTTCTGGATCCTCACTCAAATTCCTTTGCAACTCACTGGATTTTGCATTAAATTAAATTTCACATGCTGAGTGAGCAGCCAACCCTTATGAGCCTAGAGGAAAGAATATGCTGTTTCTATGCATTTTAACGTGACGGTCAAGCTGGGGCTAATGCTCCCAGGCACCTCCTTCAGTGTTCACCTCTCAGCCTTTCCATCCTAAATCCTGTATTTTTAAACGAGATGCCTGCATTTTATTACCTTTGTAAATGGAAAACAACAGCATATGTTTTCTGCCTGCTAGAAAAGGCCTGGTTTGTTTTGGTTTGAACTTTAAAATAAAGGTCAGACTTGAGGCAGGCATGAATTCTTGCATGTGTCAGCCCAAAAGGTGAAAGCTTTAGGAAGTTATGAGCAACCGCAAATGAGGCAGCTTCAAATTGCACTTGAAACTGGAACAGCTGTTGTTCAGAGCGTGACATTCAGAGTTACAATGCTAAAGATTCTATATATTACATTCAGGGAGAACTCAAAAGTAGAAAGCAGTCACTGAAGCAGAGAGAAAATTGGTTTGGGTGGCATACGGTAGAGTAGGAACAGCCTTTATGTTAATGGCACTGGGAGAAGATTGTGGGAAAGCCCAAATATCGAGGTGGGTGTAAGAAAAGTGAACAGAGAGAAGACAAAAGAGACCAGGGGAGTCTAGGGGAATTTCTGAGGAAGGATTTTCCAGTGCCTCCTTGCAAGTGAAAATTAATTGTTTTGGGGCTGGAATTCACAGCTCTGTATCACAGGGACTTAACGAGGCTGGTGGATTACCTCTCTCTGTGGTCTCAAAATGCTCTGACAGGTTCATGTGTGTCAGGCAAACATTATGGTAATTTTGGCACTTTAGGGGCTCTACAGGAGTACATAAATGCCACCCTAGCCATCCAGCTGAATTTAAAACTTAATTACTGCCCCACTCAATAATATTCTCCCCCCACCACTGCTTTAGAGGATCAGAGGGTTAAAAGAAATCATTAATCTTCCTTAATGAAGCTATTTTCTAGCAGGAGACAGAATGTCTTGCCCCTGTGGATTCTGAGATGGAGTTTTTGTGAGTGTTATGAATGGGGGAGTGGGGAACAAACGCTAGAGGAAAAGCAGAAAAAGGGGTAGGACTCAAAATGCCAGTAGTGAGAGAACCCCCTGACTCACGGCCCTTTCCTGAGTTTAGCTACAAGAATGTAATAATCATGGGGGAAGAGGAATGAACCCTATTAAAGACTAAGTTGACTGTATAACAGTGTTCCCACCATAACTACTAATTATTGGAATACCAGTGATTTTTATATATATATATTTATATCAGCTTTTATATAACTGAGACAAGAACTGTCTTGAAATGTGTATCTCCAGAGAAATCTAAAGCAGATTGGTGGTGATGGACTTCGAGTCTTTCAACTGCCAAGGTGGATCCATGTCCTTAAAGCTGCTTTTCCTGGGATTGTACTGTCTTATATTAGGATTCAATGGCATGCAAGTGTTTCAAAATGTCTGTGACCATCCCAGTACAAATCCTTCCTTTTGCACCCATGCAAGGGGTTGAAAACCTGCTCCTTAAAACAGAGTCCGTGGCTGCTGTGGTACCCACTGTGTTGAGCACCATCACCTGCCTCCTGCTGGGCTGGTTGTAGGGGCAGGGATGGCCTGCCCTTCCTGCAGTTTGTCTCTGTTTGATGTTTCCTTTAGTGGGGACACTCAAGTGCTTTTGTTTTTCTGTTTCTTGTGTGCATCCCTGGCTGCAGAAGATGCTGGATGAGTGCCAGGACAGGCGGAGCTGCCAGTTCCTCGTCAACAGCCGGCTGTTTGGGATGGATCCGTGCCCTGGGACTGGCAAGTACCTCCTCGTGTGGTACAAGTGCAGGCCAAGTAAGTATTTCTCTATCAAATCTGCTTGCTCTGTTGAGACCAAAGCATTTTCATACTTAATACTCACCAGAGAGGCCTTCTAGGATTTCTTGTCCCCTTCCTCTATTTTCAGTGTAAGATAACACCTGATCCCACCTGCAGCCATCTGCCTGTCCTGGTGGGGTAGAGATTTGTCCCTTCTCTGCCAGCCCCTCCAGGGACAGCAGGAGCTCTTTGCCTGGATAAAATTTTCCTTCAGAGCCAGGTGCCTCAGGCAGGCCCTGGTAATGGTGGTGTGACAGGAACTTCACCTGCCCACAGCGTGCCAGAAGCCAGCTTTTAATTGCTCCCAGATCAGCCTGGGAGATCTTATTAGCTGTGTTTAAATTAAATGGGGCTGGATACTGGGGATGCAGTCATGTGTGCAGAGGAGTGAGCTCAGTGCAGCTTTGGCTCAGGATGACCAACATCCCCTTGGCCAATTCCTGTCCTCAGCATGGGAGTTAGCACAACCTGGACACCATTCTCCATCAGGGCTTTGGGAGCAGATACATTAGTTTGGAGACAGATTGTGTTTGATGTGGACAAACTCTGCCCACTGATGTCAGCTGGAGAACAGGACCTGTTTCTATTTGAGCACAGGTCTGATGAGGAGCATCTGAGAGAGCTGGAGGTATTTAACCTGGAGAAAAGGAGGCTCAGGGGGGATTTTATCACTCTACAACCACCTGAAAGAAGGTTGTACCAAGGTGGGAGTCAGTCTCTTCTTCCAAGTAACAAATGATATGACAAGAGAAAACAGCCTCAGGATGTACTAGGGGAGGTTTAGTTAGGATTTAAAAACTGGAAAAATCTCTACTGAAAGGATGGTCAAGCTGCCTTGTTCCGCCCTTCCAAAGGAAGTGGTAGAATCACTGTGGTTGGAAGTATTCAAAAATGTGTAGATGTGGTGCTCAGGGCCATGGTTTAGCAGTGGACTTGGCAGTGCTGGGTTAATGGTTGTATTCAGTAATCTTAGAGAACTTTTACAACCTCAGTGATTCTATGAATTAACTGGACATGGCAATTAGTCTGAACATGGCATTTCAACCAGCCCCAATATTTTTAAATGACATAACTAATGTGGCCCCAGCAGCACATCAGCAATAATTTTGGGGAAGAACAAACAAACAAAAAGGAAAGTTTTCACAGGAGAGAAAAACAGATCTGACTTCAGAAAACGTTTAAAACAAAAGCAGAAACATTCAGAGTCTGCCAGCAGCAGCACAGAAGAAGACTTTTTGCCCCAGCAGGCAGAGACCTGTGCTAATGAAGTGAGAAGGTCTGGCCAGATCTGTGTGGAATTCAAATCAGAAGTAGGTAATGAAGCACCTGCATTTGTTGTGGGATTTTCACGAGTAATTGTAACATCCCTTGTTGGGTGAGAAATGCATCTCTTCCAGAGGGGTGATTAGCAGGGTGTTCTGACAAGTCCTCCTGGACCTGCAGGATTTGTATCAAAGCTCAAAAATCTGACTATTAGGCCTGTGCTGAACTTCCGAAGGTGCTTCAGGACCCACCTGTTAATTAATATTTATGGTTTGGCATTCTGTGCTAATTACAGATATGGTAGAAAAGAAGGAGTTTTTCAGTGTGTAGGGTAGGTGATTTTCTTGAAAGAGAACAGGGGAAGATGCTTGAAAACATTTCCCCTGCGCTTTTCAGGCAGCTCAAATTTCGCAGAGTGAAACAGGGTAATCTGACAAAAATGGCTGTATCTTAGTGGGCAAACTTTTAATCAGAACCCTCTAGATTACTAACAATATTTGAAATATGTGAAAATTAGCTTTGCCCAGAGATACCAGGTCACAGTCAGCCTTTCCTTGATAATTCAAACTATTAATTTTGAGTCTCATAAACAGTGGCCTTTTTTTTGGGTTCTTGACTATTTGAGTATTGTTTATGGGCTGTAAGTGAATATATGCTGAAGAGCTGAACCCCAAGACTGTGGTCTTATGAAGTGTTGAGCTGTTCCAGAAAGTGTGAGTGAGCACACAGAGTTGTAATCAGAGTCCTTGTGAAGAGCTCACTGCTTGGCACAGGATTTGATTCATAACTTTATCAAAAGACAAATACAGTATCTTGGGTTTTATTTCTGAACTTGTCTTTCTTAACAGCAGACATAACAGAAATTCAAGGTTTCAATTGTCTTGAATTGACAGGGGTATCTTTTTGTTGCTTATTGAGGGAGCCTGTTATGATCATGTCACTGAAGTAGGTGTTTTGGTTAAGCACCTACCTAGGTAAGATGAATGTGAATTTTTTTGTATACAGGTGTTAGTGGCACTTTGGGAAGTGGCCTGCAGAGTTTGGACAGAACATCTTTAATATAAAATAAGGATACCCAAGCTCTTCCATTGTCAGAGTCATGCTGAAGCCTCAAAATGCCCCTGAACAAAGGTAGTTATCCAAATAGAAAGACTTCCTTGAAAGAAAACAAAACTGAAGTTAGTGGCATTTGCTTGTACTTTTGCTGAAGATTAACAAGATGGTGCAGTCATCCCCTCGAGCCACTGTCACTGCAGTTATGTCTCCCTGACATTCCCCTGCATTTGAAATCGAGTGGTTTCGATGCTCGCTTGCTGAGTGGGGGTCATGCACAAGGCAGGGTGCTATTTTGGTTTCTTGTGGGCAGAATTTCAAGAAGATGGAGAACAGTAAATCATGCTGAAACTCAAAGACAAAGATTTTTCAGATGGTGGGGCTCTGGGGAGCAGGGCAATGAGGGGATGTCTCCTGTATTCATCCCTCAGAGACTGTTCTTGCTGGAAGCAGGGAAAACTTGTGCAGAGGTGTTGCAGCTCACCTCCTCTAGAAATTAAAATAAATAGTTCAGGGAAGTGCATGTGTAACTAGAAGCAGTGAGAAATTAATTTGCTTGTGTGTTTTTTGGAAAACCTTGTGCTGCTCATGGTCTCCTTGATCCAATAGATGGATCCGGGATCTAATGGACACTCATCTTGCATATACAGGATTCAGATATGTGCATGGAACTGCTTTTAAGTGTCAGGAGATTGGCAGTTCTGTGAATTTTTTTTCCCTGTAAATAAATAAATACACTATATGCTTTTAGTTTTTAAATTTAGGGTGTTGAAGGATATCAGAAATGATCAATAAAATGCTCTGTTCTGTCTCAGTTTGGGGCAAGGGAGCTTTACTTACAACTACCAAGTGACTTGAGGGCCAAGGTTCATCAAAGTGTACAGAAGGTCAGATTTTATTTTTAGTTGACCTGGTGGTGTTCAATCAAAGTTTGGACTTGATGATCTTTGTCTCTTCCACCCTCAATGATTCTATGGTTTATTTTATTTTTCTATACCATGTGTGCCTTAGTTTCTAATGTGCACCACCCTTTGTGGGGCTGGTCAGGAGCACAGCCTGTGCTTCTTGCCTTTGAGGTGCCTCTGCAAATCCTCCTGCTGTCCACAGCCTCAGCAGGCTCCCTGCAGCTCAAGGTGGGGATGTGCTCCTGCAGCACTGAAGCCTGGAGCTGTTCTCTCCTAGTGTAGATGTAGTTTGGCATTTAGCACTGGTCAGAGATGGTTTCCAGTGGGAAGTCTGAGTATGGCCACCTTGTTTAAGAAGCTAAAAAAGTTGATTAAAATGGTGGTCCCACACCAGAGGGCCTCGGTGCCAGGGAATGGGCACATTCTATTTATCAGGGCCAGTGTATCCTGAGATCCACACCCAAAGCACACTGGAGCCTAGGATCAAACCCTGAACACACAGGGGATTTAAATCTCCAGGGTGCCTTTCAGGATCATTAAAAAATTGCACATAAATCCAATTATTTCCCAGGTAACATGCTGATTTGATTTAGACCCATTAAGTGTAATTACCGGGTGGTCTGCAGGAACAGATAATTAGAGGGAATTGACATACTATTTAATTGGTCTAACATGAATTCCCTCTAACTGAAATCTGGATTCACCAATATTATTCAAACAATTCAGTGTTTGTTCATCCCACTCACTTCAGAGACAGAGAACCGTGTAAGATCGTGTGTTATTGTAAGCTAGGAAATATTTGCTCCATGTGCCAGACTTTCTGGAGGGGCTGTGTGATCTAATCCTGGCTGGGAACAGGATCTGTGGGGCTGCCCAAGTTATGCTGAAGAAATAACTTCACCTCTCCGCACCCCAGCAATACCACTGCAGCTGATTTTATTTGGTTTGGTCACTGCTTGGGGCTACTGCACCAGCAGGGATCCATCTGCCCCTGCACAGCAGCTCTTTGCCCGTTGTGGCTTTTTGGTTGTTTGATTATTTTTTTGTCTTTGTTGCTTCAAAAGTGTCAATGCTCCTGAACACAATGGGGACACAAATGTTTGCCCTGCTCTGCAGAGAGAATACTTAGGATGAGATGTGTTTGAGTGGCCATTTCCAGGCAGTGCTGTCGAGAAAGGAGATAGCTCCTACTTTATTTATTTTACTTACTCTATGAGACCCCCCATAGTGCCTTTCTTTCATGTCCTCCTTTGCCAGTGCCACACTGTCCTGGATGCACTGATTCCTTCTCAGCTCTGTGGAGCCAAAAGCTGCAGCTTCCCATAAAATGTTATAGTGATATTTTCCCACTTTTTTCTTGAGCAGTTTCTGGTTTAGCTTATGACTTCAAGGACTCTGGGAAGGATAATCTACATCCATTTTTTTATTTAAAAATTATTATTATTTTTATTGAATTTTAAAATGCTGAGTGAGGCAGCTGGATGTGATAATTGAAGGATGGTGAATATGAAGTCCCTCTGTACTAATCATCCCAGAGATGTAACAAAGTGTAAATCCAAACTTTGCTGCTCTGCCTTCTATTCACAAATGTAAGTCTGAAGCCTTTGAAGTTTCAGAAAGCCTGGATTGTGACCTGGGCTCCAATTTCAGCTCAAATCTCTCTGTAACAATACAAAAGCTTATTTGGGAAGGGAACATCAAGGCTCTGAGAAATATATCTGAGAAGGAAACATTTGCTGGCTAAGGGTGAAGTGC